GCAAGTCTCTGAATTTTACCCTGTCCCACAGTTAGCTGTTGAATGAAACAATTGTGACTTTGGTTAGTTAGTCTTCTAAAGAGATTTTGCACTTCGCCCAGTAACTAGAACACTGGTCTGGGAGTCATAGGCCTGAGGTATCTTCCCTATTTGCTGTGTCTTCCCCATCAGTAAAGTATAGATGAACGTTACTGTCTTGTAAAGTGCTATCCATGAATGGTGATTTATAAATGCTAAATTATTATGCAGCATAACTCATTCTCTAGATTCTTTACTATAATTAAAGGTTGTGTTTTTCTGTTGCTGCTGTGGTGGGGAGAGTTAAGCGGGACAACGACTTTCTAAGCACAGGCACTTGTATAGTCCTTGGTTCTGGAATAGTTGGAGATTAAAATTAATTGACTTTTATCCAGCAAAGTTTTAATTTCCTTTCAGTTTAGTTCTAACTTGTGTGTCTAAGGATCCTCTGCATATCTGAAGATACCCCTTCTAACTTTTTCCTCGCCTCTAGAGACCTAACGAGGACAGAATGAGACTAAGGAAGTCTGACTTTTTATGCTGCTCCTTCTTAGTTGAAATAGTTGTGAGTTGGTGTGCTCATAACCACTGAAATTGTGGTCCCTGCAGCACTCTGAACTGCAGGGACAGAGGTTGAGGAATTGGAGAGAGCTTCCTCAGGTCTGCGCAGAGTAATACTATAATATGCCAACTCATAATAGTCTGGCTTTGGTTAAATGTGTGCTGGGAGAGAAGCTGAGCCCTGATTAGGGGGTGGGGCTTCACTGATTAGGGGTCCTATAAAGGTAGCCTTCTAGTCAGGCAGCGGCACAGGAGCAGCAAACAGAGCTGTAAACAGGGGAGTTTGAGTGGGAGTTTGTAAAGGGAGTTGGGATTGTGGGACTTGTTTGGAGTTTGTTTTTGCTGTGGAGGGGGTGTTTTGGTTTGTTTTTGTGTTCACCGGACTAATAGGATTTTGGTGAGAAAGTAGATAAAACATAGAGGCATTAGTGGCCATGGCCCAAGTAGTAGGGAACACAAGGAGGATGATTGGATGTGGTAGCTGCGGTATGTACATGATTCTGGAGGGGGTACCTGAAAGGAATTTTGTTTGCATGAAGTGCCGCCTGATCGAGCTGATGGAAGAAAAGATCTGAGGACTGGAGATGCAGGTGGAAACTCTGGTTGAGTTTAGAAGGGGGTTTGAGCAGATGATCGGGCAAAGGCATGACGTGGTTGAAGGGGAAAGTTTAGATATGCAGATGGAAGCAGGATCAAGGGCCTCAGAGGGGGGACTGCTGGGTGAAGAAAATGGACAGTGGAAGCATGTGACTCAGAGAACCAGGCAGAGGAAAAGATGGGTCAGTGAAGGAAAAATAGAGCTCAAGAACAGGTATGTGGAGCTGGAGAATGAAGAAGGGCTACAGCAGGTAGATAACAAAGATGGAAGGGTGAGGAAGAAGAGAAGAGTGGCTAGTCCCATAGATAAAGGGAAAGACTTAATGGAGACAACACCAATAATGAGCATTAGGAGGATACAGGATGGGTTAAAGAGGATTACAAGGGAAAATAGGAATGGCAAGGACTTGCAGCCAGAGGAAGCTAGAGATAGACCAGAGAATTTCACTGTCACTAGGAAAAGGCAGGTCTATGTGATTTGGGACTCCTTATTGAGAAGAATAGATAGGCCTGTAACCAGAGCTGATCCAGAGAATAGAAGGGTGTGCTGTCTGCCAGGTGCTAAGATACGAGATGTGGAACTGAGGTTGAAGAGAATTATTAAGGGAGCAGAAAGGAATCCATTGATCATCCTTCATGTAGGAACAAATGATACGGCTAGATTCTCGCTGGAACGAATTAAGGGAGACTATGCTAGGCTGGGGAGGATGCTCAAGGAAATTGAGGCTCAGGTGATCTTTAGTGGGATTCTGCCTGTTCCTAGAGAAGGGCAACTAAGATGTGACAGGATTATGATGATCAATAGATGGCTTAGGCAGTGGTGCTATAAGGAGGGCTTTGGGATGTATGGTCACTGGGAGGCATTTATGGACAGAGGACTGTTCTCTAGAGATAGACTTCACCTAAGTAGGGAGGGAAATAGACTTCTAGGATGGAGGCTGGCTCAACTGATAGAGGGTATGTCTACACTACAAAGTTAGTTCGAACTAGATTTTAACACTGAGAGGGAGGAAAACGAAGTAAGAAAGGATATAGCTGGGGGTAGGAGAATGAACATGAGGAAGGGTGGGGTGGATACTAGTCTAATAGGTCATATTGGAGGTATAACGTCCGTGCCAAATTGGGTAAAGAATGTGAATGAGGCCAAACAGCAAAAATTAAGACGTTTGTGCACCAATGCGAGGAGCCTAGGTAACAAAAAGGAGGAACTAGAGCTATTGGTCCAGGAAGTGAAACCAGATATTATAGGAATAACAGAAACATGGTGGAATACTAGGCATGACTGGAGTACAGGTATTGAAGGGTATGTGCTGTTTAGGAAAGACAGAAATAAGGGTAAAGGTGGTGGAGTCGCATTGTATATCAAAGATGAGGTAGATTGTAAAGAAATAAAAAATGATGGAATGGAGAAGACAGAGTCCGTTTGGGCAAAAATCACATTGGGGAAGAAAACTATCAGATCCTCCCCTGGGATAGTGCTTGGGGTGTGTTATAGACCACCAGGATCCAATTTGGATATGGATAGAGACCTCTTTAATGTTTTTAATGAAGTAAATACTCATGGAAACCGCGTCATCATGGGAGATTTCAATTTTCCAGATATAGACTGGAGAACAAGTGCTAGTAATAATAATAGGGCTCAGATTTTCCTAGATGCGATAGCTGATAAATTCCTTCATCAAGTAGTTGCTGAACCAACAAGGGGGGATGCCATTTTAGATTTGGTTTTGGTGAGTAGCGAGGAATTAATAGATGAAATGGTTGTAGGAGACAACCTTGGCTCGAGTAATCATGAGCTAATTCAGTTCAAATTAAATGGAAGGATAAACAAAAATAAATCTGAGACGAGGGTTTTTGATTTCAAAAGGGCTAACTTTAGTAAATTAAGGAAATTAGTTAGGGAAGTTGATTGGACTAAAGAAATTATGGACCTTAAAGTGGAGGAGGCCTGGAATTATTTTAAGATAAAGTTGCAGAAGCTGTCAGAAGCCTGTATCCCTAGAAAAGGGAAAAAAAATTATAGGCAGGTGTGTTAGACCAAGCTGGATGAGCAAGCATCTCAGAGAGGTGATTAAGAAAAAGCAGAAAGCATATAAGGAGTGGAAAATGGGAGGGATCAGTAAAGAAAGCTACCTTATTGAGGTTAGAGCATGTAGGGATAAAATGAGAAAGGCTAAAAGTCAGGTAGAGTTGGACCTTGCAAAGGGAATTAAAACCAATAGTAAAAGATTTTATAGCCATATAAATAGGAAAAAAACAAAAAAAGAAGAAGTAGGACCACTAATTACTAAGGATGGAGTGGAGGTTAAGGATAATCTAGGAATGGCCCAATATCTAAACAAATACTTTGCTTCAGTCTTTAATGAGGCTAATGAAGAGCTTAGGGATAATGGTAAATTAACAAATGGGACTAAGGCTATGGAGGTAGATATTACCATATCCGAGGTAAAAGCCAAACTTGAACAGCTTAATGGGAGTAAATCAGGGGGCCCAGATAATCTTCATCCAAGAATATTAAAGGAACTGGCACATGAAATTGCAAGTCCATTAGCAAAATAGACTGGCCTTTTCTTGACATTTGTTTATTTTTTATTATATTTGAGACACTTTCCACAGATTCACAAACTTCTGGAAGGGTGGAGCCCTCCATTGTGACATAGCCGTGAAAAAGGCTAATACGATCTTGGGATGTATTAGGCGAAGTATTTCCAGTAGGGATAAGGAGGTGTTAGTGCCATTATACAAGGCACTGGTGAGACCCCATTTGGAATACTGTGTGCAGTTCTGGTCTCCCATGTTTAAGAAGGATGAATTCAAACTGGAACAGGTACAAAGAAGGGCCACTAGGATGATCCAGGGAATGGAAAACCTGTCTTATGAAAGGAGACTCAAGGAGCTTGGCTTGTTTACCTTAACCAAAAGAAGGCTGAGGGGGGACATGATTGCACTCTTTAAATATATGAGAGGGATAAATACCAGGGAGGGAGAGGAATTATTTAAGTTTAATACCAATGTGGAGACAAGAATAAATGGATATAAGCTGGCTAGTAGGAAGTTTAGACTTGAGATTAGATGAAGGTTTCTAACCATTAGAGGAGTGAGGTTCTGGAACAGCCTTCCAAGGGAAGTAGTGGGGGCAAAAAATCTATCTGGTTTCAAGATTAAACTAGATGGGTTTATGAAGGGGATGGTTTGATGAGATAACATGATCTTGGTAACTAATTGTCCATTCATTATCAGTGGGAATAGGTCAATGGAGGGATGATAGGAGTTACTACGATCTATCTGGTTTCAAGATTAAACTAGATGGGTTTATGAAGGGGATGGTTTGATGAGATAACATGATCTTGGTAACTAATTGTCCATTCATTATCAGTGGGAATAGGTCAATGGAGGGATGATAGGAGTTACTATAGAGAACTTTCTGGGTATCTGGCTGATGAGTCTTGCCCACATGCTCAGGGTTTAGCTGATCGTCATATTTGGGGTCGGGAAGGAATTTTCCTCCAGGGTAGATTGGCAGAGGCCCTGGAGGTTTTTCGCCTTCCTCTGTAGCATGGGGTACAGATCACCGCTAGAGAATTCTCTGCATCTTGGGGTCTTCAAAGTATTTGAAGGCTTCAATATCAGAGATATAGGTGAGAGGATTATTCTGGGAGGGGTGGGTGAGATTCTGTGGCCTGCACTGTGCAGGGGGTCAGACTAGATGATCATAATGGTCCCTTCTGATCTTAGTCTATGAGTCTAATGTCAGTTCTTAAATCCTCTTCAGAAATGGCCAAGTAAGACTGCTGCTTAATGTGTTAATTTTTATTTAATCCTAGGGAATTGGCTCGTGAGAAGGTGATGCGTGAAGTTAAAGCTTTAGCTAAACTTGAACACCCAGGTATTGTTCGATATTTTAACGCATGGCTGGAAGCACCACCTGAGAGATGGCAGGAGAAGATGGATGAACTATGGATAAAAGATGAAAGGTAACATTCAATTTCTTCACTGTTTGAAAGTGATACCGTGTTCAGTGATGGGAGGGAAGGTTGATGTTCTGTTCAATAGGAATACAGAGACCTGCCAGTACAGAGAGGGCAATACGTTGTTAAACTGAAGTTGATAGACTTAATTATCATTGTACAAATATGTTAATCTTATTTAAAATGTTTCACTCAGCCTTAGTCTTCTAGCCGATTGATAAAATTCTGTGTTTTACCTATGGGAGACCCTTTGCTTGACTGTTGCATTTGGGCCTTTGTGTGATTAGAAGTTTCTTTGGTTGCTACAATGTAATTTTAAACTTTAGAACCCTAATAGAATGCTTGTTAGATCCCCTTAAATAATTGAGGATTAAACACAATTCGGTAGTGTTAATCTGACTTTGCTTTTTTTAGTACTGATTGGCCATTCAGTTCTCCCAGTCCGATGGACGGTCCATCATTCAAAATTAGAACAGAGCCATTGTCTACAAAGGAGCACATTGAAGTTATTGCTACAACACCACAGCGAATTAAGTCTTTCTCTGTGGGGATAGCCTGTGGCCAGTCCGATTCATCAGAGAGCCAGATTTCTCCAGTGGAGTTCTCTGCTACTGACAATGAGGTCTTGCACCAGTCAACAGATCTGATGTTAAACCTGCAGGACAGCGTCCTTACAGACTGCGATATTGAGGATAGTACTGTTGATGATGCTGATCCAGGCCACTCCATTGAACTTTATCCTCCAGCTGGGCCTATCGTGCAGTTGAGAGAGAGGACCTCATCCTCCATTGTGTTTGAGGATTCTGGCTGTGATAACACTTCGAGTAAGGATGGTAACAGAAGTGATGCTTCACGTGACTACTGCCATTGTGAAGAAAAAGCAACAAGTACAAAGGGATCTGATAATAGGAAATCTCCTTCCGGAAGCTCTCTGTCTGTTTCTCCACCAAGACCTACAAGCTTAAGTCTGGACTTTACTAAAAGTACTGCAGAAAAAGTCAAACCCACCTCACCAAAAGTGTACCTCTATATCCAAATGCAGCTGTGCAGGAAGGAAAACCTCAAAGACTGGATGAGTAGAAGATGCACGATAGAGGAGAGGGAGAGAGCAGAGTGTCTTCAGTTCTTCCTGCAGATAGCTGAGGCAGTTCAGTTTCTTCACAGTAAAGGACTAATGCACAGGGACCTCAAGGTTTGTACTGATAAAGAATGCTATCCAGATCTTATCCTTTTAGCTAGCCAGCATGATCTAATGAGCAGTGTGCACCACTGAAAGCTTGGAGCTCCTGAATTGTACACCTGGCTGTGTCTCAACTCAAGGTGTCCTTGGGCAGATGTCCTCTCTCTCCCCTTCTGTGGCCTTGTCTTTGCTGCAATGGTAGCACAAATTGTGTGCATTGTAGTTAACTCCTCTTCAGTTAACCTGGCTCAAGTGAGAATGGTCACATTGCAAAACAACGCATGGGCTGCACAAAGGGTATTAATAGCATGGAGTAGCTGATTCCCCACTGCACTATTAATTTGTGCTTCAGCACCTCTTGAGCTTCAACCCACACACCCAGATGGGCCAATTAACTCAAGTTTAAAGCACCACTTTAAGCTAGCTTGGGTTTTGTATGTGTATGAGAGAGAGTTAGAGGTACCACTTGAGTTATACCTCAGGATATGACTGCAGTGAAGCCAAGCCCTGTGTTTTCACTGTCTGCTACCTCAACAGGATCTCCTGCTTTGACAGGGTATTGAGAGGATTAGTCAATGTTTGTATAGTGCTTTGGAAATACTTGTCCAGGTGGGGTAAATATTGCCATTAATTATGGCTATGAAGATTTCCCATCTACAGGCTTATTCCTACTAGACGCAGTTAAGCTGCATTCATTATAACCTGCCTTCATTCACTCTGTTTCCAGTGAACGATACATCTTATCTTAGCTTGTTGTTGAACTAGAGGGCATGATTAGTTTCCATTTTGAAATCAGTTCTACAATTCAAAGTGAACCAGCTAATACTATTTATTTATCTTGTTTTTGCTATGGTGATACTTCTTTGGAATTCTGGTTCTAAAAGGGAAAAAGTGCTGAAACTGCACAACTAAAAATTAAACTACTTGCAGCCGAAGTCCTGGACCAGTGCCAGAAACCCAGTACAACTGATCTGAGGGTTTCGATGTCTAATATCTATTAAAGCATCAGAACTAGAAGTGAATGATATTTTCCATGAGAAAGTTGTTAGTGTTTGTTTCTAGTTCTGGTAGTTTGATCTATTGAGGTCTCACATTTAAAATTGGATCATTTTAATTTCCCACTGTATCCTTCCCCCTTCACTGAAATTCTGAACTGACTTTAGTGGCTGCTAGCTCTAGAATTTCTAGTGTTAGAATCGTTATTTTACAACACCAGTATTTGCTGATGCATATAAAAACTTAGGTATAATTTTACTTCACTCTGGGGATCCTTCTCCCAATGAATTCTAAAAAACTGCTAACACCAGAGGTAAGTCCTTTTCGTTTGAGGAGCTATCATTGCCTAATTAAGTGGAGCAAATATTGAATTTGGAAGAACAAGATAAAGTCCACTATTTCCCCCTCACCCACCACTTATCTGCAATGTTTATAGCTCCTCAAACATGGAAGTAAGTATTTGACCTCAACTGAAGCAAGGAACTGAAATATCTAATTAGATTGAGACAATTGCAAAGAATGTTAAGGTTTGTGAAACTACCAACATTTTACAGACCTAATTGAAATTCAGTTACAACAGCAAAAAATTTGCCAGGAGTTAGAAACACTTGGAACCAGTCAAAATATTTTGGGGACCAGCAAACTTTTTTTATACTGATTTTTTTTTTTTTAAACCAAGAATCAGAGAAATGTTAATCCCAAGAAATAAAATAGGATAATTTTCAGATGCAGATACAGAGGCAGCAAGTCAGGGGGGAGATGGGAATGTGTGTAGTTGACAAGATTAACCAATAAACTCAGGCTTATTGGTTAATCGTGTAGTCGTCTACATGTTGACATCCCTAATAATAACACTATAGATATCTTATAGCTTTTGCAGAACTTTTCATTGAGATCAGTGTTTGCACTGATTCTCCAGTACAAGAGAACTGAAGCTCTGCAGAAATTGAGTTGAAGCTCTGCTCTCTAAACCAGCAGTTGAGTTGGAATCTTTCAGGGACCTCCTTAAAATTTTACAGACACTGGCAAGGAGGTGGACAAAATATTCTAAATCTCTCCTGTTTCTAAATTCTTGCTTAGTATGACAAGCATTATTGGTATGTCATTGAACAGACCACTTTATTTACCCAAAAAACCTGAGAGTATATATAAAGAATGTCTAAAAGCTGTATCTTGCAACTCTGGATTCTATTTTACAAGGAAGCTTATTAGTTTTCTTGGTAGAATCAACAAGCTAGTTTATTCACTTTACTGTGGTTCTTGAAACGTACTGGAACAAATCTTAACCTATTGTTGTGGTTTATGTAAGAGGTTTTAAATTTGTACCCACAGTTACAGGTAGTGACTGTGTAATTGCAGAACTGTTCATTGTAAATACAGGTATTTAAGGCTCATATTGATCAGAGCTGGCCTTGGTTCAAGGTAAAAGGAATTTATGCTATTTTCTAAATTGGTGAGAGATGTCACACTTAGATTTCATTAGAAGGGAATGAGCCATGTTAATAAAACCAGTTGTTAAGGGTCCAATTCCCCCTTCCTTTTAGAATCCCTCCCTCTCCCCATCCATAATGTTTTCTTCCTTTTCATTGTATTGGACGAGGAAGTATGATCTTGTCTTCAGATTCCTGCATGTCCGTAAGCTGGAAAAATCCTTCAACTGTGGTATCTAAATTACTAGTGGAGGAATCTGTGCCCATTGTTCCATACTACTGTCTGAAATACGTATTTTTGATACCTCACGTACAGGAAGAGAAAGTTGGGGGAGCCCATTCACTTCAGTTGACAGGTGTTCATAGACTGGTGATGAGGGCCATATAAATACCTTTGTAGATTGAGGATGCTGTACATTCGCAAGGTGGTAATTATCCTGCGCTAAAACTCAAGGACAGGGTATTCATTTTAGGAAACAAACCCTGAGGCTGCATTTACCAGCCCTGGGAGTGATGATTACTGAATTAACAAAGCACTTCCTATCTAGTGATGAGGAAATCTACTTACTCTCTTCAGAACTCAGCTCCCTCTAGCCATCTCTTCACATAACCCCATTCCTGAGATCTCCTCTATCCTTGCTTCTTCTAGTCCCTTTCTTGAAATCCAACTGTCCTCCATTAAAATAACTCCTTTCATGTGTTGAATACATGGGTTAACAGAAGAGTAGCCCGTGTCTGTTGTGAGCATGTCAGAAGGAAGTTTTGAAGGCACGGACCAAACAGAATAGACTCACAGTACGTTATTTAGAAATAACCAGTTATACAGATCTTCTCTGAGTGCAGCATTGTGCGTATAGATAAAGATCCACAACAAAAAGTTATGTTTCAAA